GTAATATAGTCTAATAACAACCCAAAGAATGATCCATCTAGGCCCATAGTCATGTAGTCCAAGGAAATAGCCCAAAGAGTCCCACTAACGCAATAAACGTAGGGCATTCCCTTGTGGAACGCTGGGCGTTCCTCTTTGGATCAGATTACGAGCCCCAACGGGAACGTTGCACATTTTCGAGCCTTACGCAAGGCGTTCGCGTCCAGTCTCCAAAAACCGGCCATTAAGCACTTAATGCTTAATTCATGTTATCCAAACATAGATCCAAGCTATCTAGGACCTCTAGAATTATAAAGTCACGGACTTGATGACTTTGCATGTCCCTAAAAGTCCCAATCCCAAGAAATAGCAACCAATTTCCATAAATATGGTCCTAAATCTTGCATGAACCCATTAGGACCTTAAATATGAAAACTTTTCTCTACTAAGGACTAAAATAGCATCAAGGGTGGCAACCCTAAGTCCAGAAATGGATTTGAGCCATAAAAATCTATTCTTGGGACCAAAAAGGTCCAAAACATCATTACCATAAATCTAAGCATACATGAGGCAAGTTGTGAGCTTTTGACCTCAAAAGAGTACCAAATGATGATACTATCCCAGATCCTTGAGCTCAATATATTCAAGTTCTTGTTCATTCAACTTCTTCTTTCTCCTTCAAAGCTTAAAACCACCAAGATGAACTTCACAAGATCAAAATCACACAAGGATGGAGTGTTAGGATATCTAGGGTTTTTATGAGGTTGAGAGGCTGGTAAGGAGGTTGAGGTATTGGACACAATGTTATTTATATAGGTCCTAAACTCTAAAACTTAGGGTTTGCATTCCACGTGGGAATGCAACACGTTCCTCAGGGGAATCCCCTGTGTTCAGAATCCGCCTCCAAAATCATGAATTAGAAGAAACAATCTATCATTCTTCCAAACTCACTAATAAAAAGGTCCAAAAGTAGTAATTCAATATATAAGGGACCAAAATATAAATAATACCTGGAGTGGGTGTTACAATTCTCCCTCACTTGAATCAGACTTCATCCTCGAAGTCCGTCGCCTCAAAAAAATCAGGGTAATGCTCCCCCATCTCCTCCTCAGGCTCCCAAGTCCATTCCGAGCCCTTGCGGTGCTGCCACTGAAACTTCACCAACTCTACCCTCTTGTTCCTCAACTCCTTTGTCTTCCTATCGATAATAGCCACTGGTCTCTCAATGCAGTTTAGGTTGTTGTCCGCTTGAATATCCTCTAAAGGCACAACTACAGAGTCATGCACTAAGCACTTCCATAGTTGGGAGACATGAAAGGTGATGTGGATCTGACTAAGCTCTGCTGGAAGATCCAAACGATAATCATCTCGGCCCACCTGAGCCAAAACCCTGAACGGACCGATGTACCTAGGGCCTAACTTACCTCACTTCTTGAACCGGATGACACATTTCCAAGGTGACACCTTCAGGAGAACAATGTCACCCACCTGAGACGCGGCGCTTGTCAGCATAGCTTTTCTGCCAACTCTGAGCAATTTGGAGCCTGCTCCGGACCTGCTGGATCTTCTCCGTGGTCTTGAGTACCACCTCGGTACTCCCTATGACTCTCTGAACGACCTCTCCCCAACAGATTGAGGTCGTACACTTCCTCCCGTAAATCATCTTGAAGGGAGGTCGATCTATGCTAGCATGGTAACTGTTGTTATACGAAAATTCTACTAACAGAAGATACGTATCCCAACTGCCTCCAAATTCTAATACACATGCACGTTGCATGTCCTCTAGATTCTAAATTGGCCTTTCACTCTACCCATCCGCCTGAGGGTGGAAATCGGTATTGAAGTCAAGATGAGTACCCATCTTGTCATGGAACCACTTCCAAAATCTGGAAGTGAAACGAATATCTCGGTTTGACACAACCGAAACCGACACTCCGTGACGTGCCACAACCTCGCACACATAGATCTCAACTAGCTTCTCAGCTGATATACTCTCATGTATCGGGATGAAATGAGCACTCTTGGTCAACCGATCCACGATGAACCATATCGAATCTACTCCATGTATGGTCCTGGGGAGCTTCGTGGTAAAATCCACAGTAATATCCTCCAATTTCCATATGGGAATATCTAACGACCGAGTCTTGACATGCAGTCTCTAGTGTTCAGCCTTGACCTTCCTACAGGTCAAGCACCTCTCGATGTACCAGGCTATATCCCACTTCATGCATAGCCACCAGTAATCAGGACGAAGATCTCTATACATCTTCGTCACCACAAGATGGATGAAAATCTGGATTTGTGCGCCTCCTCCATAAGAACCTGGTGCACTCCACCCCAGTAAGGAACCGAGACCCTCCGGTGTAGGGTCAACAACCCATGGTAGTCATAATAAAATGAGGCCACCTGGCCTATGATCCGCTCACACTTTTAGCGCTCATCCTTCATACCCTTGACCTACGCCTCTCGAATCCGCTCCAAAAGCGGAGTCACTACTTTCATCCTCAATCAGATGTCTCTGATCGGGGTTGTGAATGCCTTATGACTAAGTGCATAGGCCACAACATCGGCCTTCTCTAGGCGGTGGAGGATCTCACAGTCGTAATCCTTCACCACATCCAACCATCGTCGATGTCTCATGTTCATATTTGGCTGGTCTACCAGATACCTCAAACTCTTGTGGTCCATGTAGACGGTACAACGGACCCCATAGAGTTAGTGTCGCCAAATATTGAGGGTGAAAACAACCGCCCCCAACTCCAGGTCATGTGTCGGGTAATTTGCCTTGTGAGGCTTCAGCTGCCTCGAGGTGTAGGCGATGACGTGCCCCCTCTGCATCAACATTACGCCTACACCGGAGATGGATGCATCGCAGTATACTACAAAATCCTCAACGCCCTTTGGCAGGGCTAAGATCGACACCTCGTACAACCTTTGCCTCAAAGTATCGAACGTTGCCTGCTGCTCAGACCCCCAGCAAAAGACAACAATCTTTTTCGTCAGTCGAGTCAGGGGTACCTCTATCTTGGAGAAATCCTAAATGAATCTCCGATAATAGCCCGCTAAACCGAGGAAGCTCCAAATCTTAGATGGAGACTTCAAAACCTCCCATCTCATTATGGCCTCCACTTTGGCCGGATCGACCAGAATACCGTTCTGGTTGACAAGGTGCCCCAGAAACTGCACCTCGTGCAACCAGAATTCACACTTGGAGAGCTTGTCGTACAAGCACTCGCTCCTCAGGGTTTCCAACACCTCTCACAAGTGCTCATCGTGTTGCTCCTGTGTCTTGGAACAAACCAATATATCATCAATAAAAACTATCACAGACCTATCTAGCATCGGTGTGCATACGCGATTCATGAGATCCATGAACGCGGCAGGAGCATTGGTGAGCCCAAATGGCATCACCACGAACTCATAGTGCCCATAATGAGTCCAAAACATTGTCTTTATGCACATCCTCGTCTTTGACTCTCATCTGATGGTAGCTTGATCGAAAATCAATCTTGGAAAACCAAGATGCTCCCTGAAGCTAGTCGAAGAAATCGCCAATCATCGGGAGTGGGTAACGGTTCTTCACCATTACCTTATTCAGCTCCAGGTAATCTGTACACATCCGATGTGACCCGTCCTTCTTCTTTACAAACATGATCGGAGCTCCCTTAGGCGAACTGCTCGACCTGATAAATCCCTTGTCTAACAGCTCCTGCAGCTGTGTAGATAACTCATGTATCTCTGGAGGAGCCAACCGATATTAGGGATGAGCATCAGAACCGGGTATCCGCTTTTGGAACTAGAACCGCCTCGGAACTGCCGGTTCTGGAACTGGAACTGCCTTAAGCGGTTTTGGTTCCTAAAGTTATGGATCTGCCTTAGGCGGTTCCGGTTCCAATTCTCATTTTGTTAATATATTTGACTTAATTTTTCCTAAAATATAGTTATTTCTCTTCGATCTCATTTCATAAAATGTCATGATTACTCTTTAATAACCTTAGAATAAATTACTTGTAATTATATAGTAATTCCTATCATACATTAATACAATGCACACTAAAATCATAGTCATTAATTTTTTTTAATCCAATGATCATAATTTGATCACACATTCACATAATATTTGGAGTTCATATTTAATCATAACCATATATATGTATATATATATATATATATATATATATATATATATATATATATATATATATATATATATAGTGATGTTCAATAAATAACCATAATTAACCAATGAACCAATGAACCAATCTTTTTTTTCAACTTTTAGAATTAATTTTTTTATAAAAAAAAACTAAAAATACAGAAATTCATAACTTTTTATCATTTTTCCAATGATATAAAATTTGATTTTTTTACGTCAAATTCACAATGTGAATCTTTGAAAAGTCACAACGTGAATCCGAAAAATATTTTTCACATTCACAATGTTAATATATGAATTTAAATATTTTTAGATTTTTTTTCGATAAATAATAAGCTCTAGAAATTAAAAAAAATATTTGGTTTCTTGAAGAACTAATATTTATGGTTCTCTATTGAACTTTTATTTATATATATATATATATATATATATATATATATATATATATATATATATATAAAAAGAGAAAGGACCACTTTTCATATTATTTCATTTTTTTTAAATAAAAAAAACATCATAAATGATCCACGGATACTAAAATGACAAAAATACCATTCATTTAACAGAATTAATGATAATGACCAATCGTTAAAACATGTATTATATTTTTATAAAAAAAAAAAAAAAAAAAGAACTATTTATCATGTTCTTTCATAATTTTAAATAAAAGTTAACGTCTCACTTAAATAAATAACTACGAAATACAAGGACATTTATGTAACATGAAAGTACGCTATAACGCACCATAATGGGCTTATCCTAAGGTTTGCAAGATCCAACGGTTACCACCTCTTCCCCTTCCTCTCTCTTCCATCCACCGCCATATATACCTTTTTGTTTTCCCGCCCAAGGCTCTTCCCCGCCCGATTCTTCAGTTTTCACGACCCCTCTCTCTGTCCCTATTTCTCTCCGATCTTCGTTCTTGAAACCCGAGACGCTGTCAGCAGGTACGTGCATTAAATTTCTATCAGAAATCCAGAGCTCGTATAAACATCGCCAAGACTCGGAATTTCGCTAAGAATCCACCGGTTTTGATAATACCCAGGTTTATCTTTTCTAGAATCTTATTGTGTCTTTTAAAATTCCAGTTTTCGTGTTTATTTAGACATATAATCATAATTCTGAGTTGGGTTGTGGAAGATTTTATTGTGGGGGTTCTGTGGTTGGATGCTCTGAGTCTGAGTACTTAAAAAAAGTATTTCTGTCGTCGTGGGTGGGGAGGAGGAGGTATACTAAGGACAGATTTCAGCGACGGCTTACTAATTTTTGAAGGGTAGCCATGGGATCAGCTGGGATGAAGAGGAGTGCTAGGGTTTCCGGCGATACGATTTTAAGGTCAGGGAGACGATTAGTTTCTAAGCGCATAAGGTTAACGTCCATGGCTGTTGTAGATACCCAAGAAAACAAGGTTGAGCTTCTTGATCATGAAAAACATGAAAGAGAAATCAAGTTGGGTGAATCCAAGAAACACATAACTGGTACTGATCAGGTTAAGGGAACTGATCACGAAGAACCAAGAGAAATCAAAGAGAATGGACATAGAACCGATGAACAAGGCGATGAGATCAAATTGGGGGAATCCAAGAAAACGAGCTTGGTTGATGATAATCTTAATGGGGGTGATAAAGTGAGTCGCACTAAGCGATTTGGAGCTGTTTATACCAGAAAACGAAAGAGGGCAATACCCGGTGACTCAAGTTTAAAAAACAATAGTTTGGAGGAAAAATGCGGTTCAGATAAGATGTTTAAAAATAAGTACTTTAAAAAGAGGGTTAGAACTAATTTAGTATCTGGGATTTTCAATTCAAATTTAGGTTTTAATGGGAAAGATGTTTTATCCAAAGGGCCTGTTATTATCTTTGGCACTTGTGGTGATAAAAGTCGCAACAGCAGTAATGGGTTTTCTTGTTCTGTTAGTTCAATTTTAAGATACATGAGGAAGGTCAAAGTGTTCTCATGGAGACAGTTTTCTCAGGTATGTTATGCTATCTATATTTTCATGTTTAAGCCAATGATCTATTCTATCATATTCTATATCTGTTTTTTTGGATTGATGTTATGTTTGGACTACACTCTGATAATTGCCAAGATTCTAAATATTTTTCTTGTGATTGATTGAAATATTCTCAAAAAGCAAGAAATTTCTTTCTGCATAATATCTTACCTGTCTCATTTTCTGCTATCTTTCAGGACACTACTTGTACAATGGGCCATGGATTCTTGAAAGTGTTTGGCTCAGTTCTTTCTATACCACTCTTTACTGTTGACTTCATTTCACTTCCATTCTGCTTCTTGTATATGCATTCAAGCTTACTTTTGAAATTTGCATTCCTATCCTATGCATTGATCTTACATCCAGTTGTTGAAAATTCTATGGATGAGGATATTAAAGTGCTATCTGTTGTCACTGAACTCCACCATTTTACTAAATATATGTTAGTCACAAAGCCTAGATCTTCCAGAAAAAGGGTGCCAAGGGTATCACTTTTTAAAAAATGGCAAACCCATGTAGATATTAAATATAGTGCCTGTGCCTGGTGTTAGGGAAGTAGCAGGATATGAACAGGAGGAATATGTACCCTTTAAGCTACCGGGTTTTTATATTAGTTCAAAAAGTGATGAATTTTCTAGAATTTTGCAAAAGAGTTATCCGATTTATGATATGGATTCTACTGATGAGGAGTGGTTAAAGAAGTTTAATATTGAGCAGTTTGGGGCTAATGATTGTGTCTCGGAAGATACTTTTGAGAAAGTAATTGACGCTTTTGAGAGAGGAATTTATTGTAGTCCAAATGATTATTCTAATGCCACATCAGCGATTGATCGGTGTTTCGGGTTGGCATCAAAGGATGTTTTAGAGGCTTTGTATAGGTATTGGATGACTAAGCGGAAGAAAAAACGTTCGCCTCTAGTTAGAGTTTTTCAGGTAAAATGTAATTTAAAAAGGATTAATTGCATAAAAGTCGCAACATTTTATTTTTTTTATTTCTGGATAAAACTTTTTTTTTTTTTGTTTACATTCTAAACTAAAAAACTGTCCCTAAATTTTTGGTTTTGCCTTTTTACCTACTTTACTAATTTCCATCCGCTAAAACGTGATCAAAATGTTGTGTTTTTATGGTTGTTTGCATAAAAGACAATATTTGACCATTTTTCTCGGAAGAAAAAACCTAATATCTTTCTTTTTAGATGGAAACTTGTAAATCGGGTAAAAAGGCAAAAACGAAAAGTTAGGTTAGTCTTTTGGTTTATAGATTGTAAAACTTTCTTTTAGGACTTATCCGAGAAATGGTAAAAAATGTGTGTTTTATGCAATTAACCATTTTGAAAAAACGTGTGTATGTATAGAATATAAAATTTGGGATTTTTTTTAACATGAGGACTTTGATGGCAGTGTTACCCGCGTAAAAGAGTTAGAAAAAATGCTACAAATATTGTTCTTCGGAAAAAACGGTCACTTAGAAGACGAAAGAGCCAACTTCATGCAGGAAAACAATCAAAACATGTTGGTTTCTTGAAAGGTGAGTATCTTCTTCATACATCCTTTAAGTAAAAAAGAAGCATTCATTTATAATCCAACAGATGTCATTGTACAAATTGTTAAATGCTTGATTTTGATATCTGAACAGCGATGCTGATGATGAATGAACAAAGAACACTGGAAGAGGCTGCAAAGGCGTATATGAAAGTGCATGAAACGCAAGAAGATGTAAGGAGGTCAGAAATGGCAGCCATTGTTAAACGACAAGAAGCTCAAGCTCTTATGGAGACTGCTGACTTGGCAACTTACAGAGCGACAATGGCACTTAGAATTGCAGAAGCTCGAGCAGCAACCACTGGGTTTACTTGGTGAGTGGGTGAATAGATCATTATTTTTCCCAGTAACAGAGGGAAGTATATTGTTGTAGAGCATATTATATTGTGTAATGTTATGTTTTTTGATGATGAAACCACACAACGGGTTTTGGTTTCTGCCAAAATATGGAAAAAAAATAAAAATAAGATGCAGGTTTTTTGAAGGGTTTGTATGCTAAAATTATTTTTAAATTTTGCATTGGGTTTATATGCTGGTTTCTCATTAGTTTTTAGCGTGCATAGAGTCGTTCTAGAGTGGATGCGGGTCATGTGTTAATGGAGGGAAGTATAAGATGGATTTTGTTATTTGATTTGACATTCGATTTCACCTTCCTTTTTTGAGTTGTTGGTTGAAGCCTCAAAATCCATCTTCGAAACTGTAGCAATTGGTTTGGATGAAAAGAAAATTGTTTTCATCGCCTTTTTCCAGGTTAAAACTTCATTATTTTTTTTGGCTTCATCTTCAACCTTCCGTTTTGGGCTTGACACCTAAAAATTGATTTCATCTCCTTCAATTCCTTTACTGGATTTAAGAATCTTCATTTGTGTTGGATGAATAAGCAATAAAGAAGACATGACGTCAAGATGTTTGACCATAAGGGGTAGCAGAGTGGCCTTAGGGGGATAAGACATGATTAAGTTTAGGTTTTTTTAAGGGAGAGAGAAAGGAGTTTGAGGATGGAGGAGGTGACCAGAGTTGGAGAGAGAGAAAGAGAGACCAGAAAAGTGGGATTGGCCGTAGGAATGACAATGGGCTGGGGTATGGTTTACCAAACCATCCCCATAACATTTGGGTATTTTATGTAGATGCCCATTAGGTTTTGGGTATCTTAAAGGGTTTACAAAAAGTTATAATGAAAACTTTCTTCCAGTTTTGGGTATTTGGTGTGTCTTATCAAAAAATTTACAAAAAATATATTATAAAAAACTATATGTTCTTGTCTCTCTTTTAAAGTTAAAATATCATAGCAGGTCCTTAAAATTAAAAGGATCTTGTTCATAGTAGTTATTTGTATCTTTAAATGCTTTAATTAAATATCAAAAGTAATCAAACGATGGCGGGGGTGAGGAAAACCATTTACTGCCCATAACCGGAGAACAACTTGTTACCTTACCTGAAATGCTTGGGTTATATTTTTTTATCATCTCTAATTGTCCGGTTGATTCAATTGTGGAGTTTCTATTTCACACCGATGGAGGGAGGGAGGGAAAGGTAGCAGGCGTTGTGTCAGATAGTGATGAGGAGGGAGGAGAAAAATTAGTGATTGGAATGAATGCGCCAAGCATTCATGAATTTTTATGGATGTTACAAGTTGGTATCAGTGCCTTGGTTTGAGTGAATTGGAGGAACACTCGTGTGAATCCAGTCTCACTAAGGAAAAAGGTTTTTAGAACAATTTTCGAAATAATCAAGGAAGACGCGATGTGTACGATCAGCCGGATCCAATAAGTTAACCCCAAAATAACACACAATTATTTGAGATTATGTTATGTTATGTTAGAACAACATGCTAGTGATAGGCTAGGGATCTTCAAGAAATGCATGATAGAATTGCCTAATTATATTATGCCTGATAGCCTAGGATTCTTCTTTATATGAAATTGACATCGTTACTATGGTTGCTTAGTGTATGCATCATAACTGTACAAAACTAAGAATCTATGGCCTGAGAATGTTTGGTTTGACCTTATTTCCCATTCTTATTTGATGAAGGGCTTAGTGGCTATGGGAAGCTCTAGTGGTAAATTGGTAATTTTGGAGCATGAGCAGTACGTTGGGCGTACATGTGAGTACGCTGAGCATACTAGGGCGTACACATATGTACTTTGGGCGTACGTATATCCGGGTGAAAACCCTAAATTTTAGGGCTTGTGGAGTATTTAAGCATCTTTATGGACCCTTTACCCCCTCCCCCGCCATGTTCTCCGCCTCTAAGTTCTAGAATCGTTTTTGGCAACCCTACCTTTTCTAGTGTGTGTGCGTATGTGTGTATGTGTGTGCGTGAGCTGAGAGTGTGTTTCTTGTGTGGTTGAAGAAGAAGAAGTTGCATCAAGGTGATTGGAGATTAAAGCAAGCTGGTAGATCTTGGATCATCACTTCATTAAGAAGTTCAAGAAGGTAAAAAGCTTCTACCTTTATGCTTAGATTGTTTAGATCTTGTTTTAGTGGCTTTTTGGTGTCCTTTTTGTCCCAAAAGTCACATTGATGTGCATGCTTTGTTTTGGACGTGTTACATTGTCCTTTCAGACCCTAGGATGGGTCATAAGTCATAAAAATGAGGTCCCTTTAGCTAGTTTAGTTCCTTGTTCTTTGTAAGAGGTCTTAATGGATTAAGACAATGTATTAAGGACTTTTTGGTCACCTAAAGTCTTAGATTTTGAGACTTTATGATTCTCGAGTACTTTTGAGTCATGGATATGAAGTTTGGACTTAAGTGCTTAATCCATTAAGCACTTATTAGGATTTTAAGACCTGCAAGGGTACGCCCCACATAAGGCGATGTACGCCTCGTGTATTGAGTCAACCACCCCGATGATGGTCAATGCGAGGCGGAGTACGCCCAACATACTGAAGGGTTATTCCCGACGCACGCCTTCTGTTTGGGTTTTCACATTCGGGCTTTGTATTTTGGACAATCTTTTGGGTTTTAATTCTTGGGCCCTAATGGACTATCTGGATAAGTATGTTTTGGGATAATTAGATGATTGGACCTTTGAATAAGGCACAATAAGGAATTTGGGCCTAATTTGGAAAATTAGACCAATCATGGGCTTTGAAGTAGTTGGGCCTTTTTGGATCCAGAATTGGGCTTGGGTCTTGGCCCAAATCCAATTGTTAACTGGATGTTTGTTTTATTGTGATAGTTTGGAATTTTCTTAAAGCTAGCAGTTGGAGATCTTTAGTGTGGTTCAACATTGTGAGGCGAGTTTTCCTCACTGTACTTTTGGGTCAAAGGCACCAAGGCCGACCCATTGGTTTGATATCCTACTATTTGATGATATGTTGAGTATGGAATAGATATGCATGATATGTTAGTTGCCGATACGATAGTCTGGTAGATTTGTAGGACTAGCTGTGTTTCTGGCTGCATGATTATACAATATATATATATATATATATATATATATATATATATATATATATATATATATATATATAGTTGTCTATTATATGTTGACATGATTGGTTGGGTTGAGGTTGTACTGCTTTGTGCTGTAGCCAACAAACCATGAAGCATTTCATATATGAGGCGAGGGCCATACGGGGCATGTCAGACTCATATTGAGGGATCAGTAGCATTCCAAATATGAGCTGAGGGCCGGGTGGGACATGTCAGATTCATACTATGAGCTCAATAGCATTCCAGATACGAGCTAAGGACTGGTCGGTATGCCAGACTCGTACTGAGGGCTGAACGTTGATAATTCAGTTTGATGACTGATCGATACAAGGAGCAAGCCAGACATAAGCTGTGAGCCTCGAGGGCAAGCCAGACTTATGTTGTGGGCTCAAGAGCAAGCCAAATATGAGCTGTAGGCTCGATAGGCAAGCCAGACTCATACTGTGGGCTGAGGGGTAATCAAGTCTTTTAGTTGTGGACCAATTGCATGTTGTTATTTTATATATGTGTTTGGTTGTGTGATTGATATTTTGGGGGAACTCACTAAGCTTCATGCTTACGGTTTTGGTGTATGGTTTCAAGTACTTCAGTGGATCGTGTCAAGGTGAAGGCGTGACCGTATACATTCTTGCGTTTTGGACTTATGATTTCTGGGCAACTCTGATAATGTGAATGTTTTGAAAACTATGTTGAAAGCGATTCTGATTTTTAAATAATGTCGTTGGAACAATGGCTTTAGTAAACACTTCTTTAGAAAAAGGGTTGTTTTGAAAAGTTTAAATTTTATGAGTTTTTATGTATGTTATAATAGTACTTCAATAAAATAAATGAATCTAATAAAATAAAGTTGTTGAAGTTGCATTAAGGGCAGTGGGCTCCTTAACACAATTGAGAGGCTTACATGGAACCCCTTAACATCGTTATGGCCAAACGAACACCGCACCGCCTCCATGTTGTGTTAAGCCTTGCTGCCCTCTTGACATCTCTCAACTCGCAAAACTCTCTTTCTTCCTCTATTATGTGCTATGATTTTCTTACTTTTTGGCCTTACAATGGCGTCAACACCCTTTAGGAGTGCTAGAGAGAAGAAAAAGATTGATATTGATGTGGCAACGTGGTGATAAAGACCATACCCAACAACCTAAAAATATAATATTGTTTTTATTTACCTGATCAATACAATATATTAATGATATTATTTAGTATAAATCATAGTTGTTAAAATCGCGATCCTGATCGTAGGATCGTACGATCCTATGATCCTACATATGAAAAACGATCCGGATCGTAAAAGGATCGTATTTGAGGTAGGATCGCAGGTAGGATCGTAAGATCGTAGGTAGGATCGTAGGATCGAGATCCGGTCCGATCCTACCTTCCTTTGATTTTTTTTTTTTGCAAATGGAATTTTTTTACCACTTTATATCTTTTACCCTTTACCAATCTACCATTTATCATTTTTTATTGTGACTTATGACTAATATTTTGAAGTTTTTATAACTTTTGAACGAAAAATTAAATGTTCGAAATATTTTTCATTATTAAACATTATAAATTAAAATTATATTCAATTTTGTGGGATCTTAAGATCTCGATCCCGATCTTACGATCCCGATCTTGCAAACCCAAAAACGATCCTAGGTAGGATCCCAATCTTGACAACCTCGGTATAAATGGTGTATAGTAGTTTATATAATTTACGTAGAGAACATTTTCACCCGTGCATATATTTGCATAAACACTATCATCTCATTAAACAATAACCATATACATCATAGAATATTTATAATATTTTATCTTTTTAACTTATATAATAAATAAATATAGTATTTAACAAAAAAATCCTTTACCATCCCTTTCATGTTTAGAGCATTTAACGCCTAATTCCCGTTGCAGAGAAAAGAATAGAAGAGAAAAGAAAATAAGAAGAGAAAAGAAATGAAAATAAATTGGTCTTTTGTGTTCCCTAGTTGGAGAGAAGTAGAAGAAAATTATAAATTTTCTTCTTTCTCTTCAAATCCTTCCAAATCATAAGGAAAGTTAGGAGGGAAAATGATCATTCCACTTCCTTCCACTTCTCTCCTTTAATGAAACTCGGGAACACA